TACACATTCTGGGCAAATGAAAGGTGAAAATAGAGATTGTTCTTTCTTTATATGGCTTACAAATACATGAAGGGATGCTTATGATCATTAGCCATTAGAGAGATGCAAATCAAAACAACATCTCACCCCAGCAATAATAGCAAAGATCGAAAATACAGAAAACAACTAATGCTGGTGCCCTGATGGCACAGTGGTTAAAGTACTGGTGGGACTGTAGTCCATTAGTCCAAGGCAGACTCATTTGTTCTCTTGAAAGTCTGTGGTATATTCAATATTCTTCACCAATACCATAATTCAAATGCATCAATTCTCCCATCTTCCTTATTCACTGTCCAACTTTGCATGCCAAGAGGACTGGGTCAGGAGCACCTTAGCCTTCAAAGTAACATCTTTGCTCTTTAAGACTTTAAAGAAGTCTTTTGCAGCACACTTGCACAATGCAATGTGTCATTTGATTTCCTGACTTCTGCTTCCATGGGCATTGATTATGGATCCAAGTAAAATTAAATCTTTGACAACTTCAATTTTTTCTCAGTTTATCATGAAACTGCTTATTGGTCCAGTTGTGAGGATTTTTGTCTTCTTTACATTGAAGTGTAATCCTTTCTGATGGCTATAGTCTTTGATCTTCATCAGTAAGTGCTTCAAGTCATCTTCATTTTCTGCAAAGTTGTGTCATCTGCATATCACAGATTGTTTATGAGTCTTCCTCCAATTCTGATGTCATGTTCTTCTTCATATAGTCCAGCTTCTCAGCATACAGATTGATAAGTATAATGAAAGGAAACAGCCCTGACACACACCTTTCCTGATTTTAAGCATGCAGTATCCCCTTGTACTGTTTGAACAACGGCCTCTTGGTCTATGTACATGTTCCTCCTCAGCACAATTAAGTGTTCTAGAATTCCTATTCTTCACAATTTTATCCCTAACTTGTTAAGATCCACACAGTCAAACACCTTTGCATAGTCAATAAAACAAAGGTAACCATCTTTCTGGAATTCTCTACTTTTAGCCAAGATTTATCTGACATCAGCAATCTCCTTCGTTCCTTGTCCTCTGTTGAATCTGGCTTGAATCTCTGGCCGTTTCCTGTCAGTGTACTGCTGCCGCTCCTACTGAATTATTTTCAAAAATTTTACTTGCATGTGGTATTAATGATATTATTTTGCATTAATAAATAATTTCTACATCCTTTTGGATCACTTTTTTGGGGGGGGGTTGGGCACAAATATAGCTCTCTTTAGTCAGTTGGCCTACCTACTATTGGTTCTTGAATGTCAACCAATTATTTTAGGTACAGTGACTCTTGTGAATTCCTTCTATCTTCTTTTAATGCTTCTTGTGTTGTTCGGTATTTTGCCCACAGAATTCAAATGCAAAGCAAAATCACAATGAAATACCTCACATTCACTAGGATGGCTATAATAAGAGACAAAGTAATAACTAGTATTAGCAAGGATGTGGGTAAATTGGAGCCCTCACACACTGCCAGTGGGAATTTGAAACGGTAGTCACTTTGGAAGTAGTCTGGCAATGCCTCAAAGTTTAACAGTTACCATATGACCCAGCAGTTCCACTCCTAGATATTTAAGAGAAATGAAAACATGTACCTACCTAAAAACATGTACCAGATGTTCATATCAGCATTATTCACAATAGCCAAAAACTGTCCATAAACTGATAAATGGGTAAATAAAATTTAATATATCCAGACAACGGCATACTCAGCAATAAAAATGAATGAATGCATACCAATGTGAAAATATGGACAAACTTTGAAGATATTATCCTAAGTGAAAGAAGACAGTCATAGAAGGCCACATATTGTATAATTCTATTTATATGAAATGTCCAGTACAGGCAAATCTGTTGTTGTTTGTTGTTTTTTGCTGTTGAGTCGGCCCTGACTCATAGCGACCCCTCCTTGGGTTTCCGAGGCAGTATCACTACGGAAGTAGGATTGTCCAACCTTCCTTCCAAGGAGTGGCTGGTGGGTTTGAACCGCCAGCCTTCTGGTGAGCAGTCAAGTGCCTTAGGCACTATGCTACCAGAGCTCCACAGGCAAATCTAGACAGATGCAAAGTATGATTAAGGTTGGCTAGGGCAGGGGTGGGGAGAAGGAGGAAAGGAAAGATGAGGTTAAGGGATGATGGCTAAAGTATGAGGGGTTTCTTTTAGGGTAATGAAATGTTCTAAAATTAGTGTGATGGTTGCACAACTCTGTGGGCATACTAAAAACCAAAGAAATATATAAACAAATGAACTGTATGGTACGTGGGTTTTATCAAAAAGCAATCAAAAGCATGAAAGCACATTAGATGACTTTCTAAAAAGTGTCATGTTTCAGCTATTGTTGTTATTATTTAAGCAAAATTATTCTAAATACTTTCATCTGTTGTTATGTGCCGTCGAGTCGGCCCTGACTCATAGCGACCCCTCCTTGGGTTTCCGAGGCAGTATCACTACGGGAGTAGGATTGTCCAACCTTCCTTCCGAGGAGTGGCTGGTGGGTTTGAACCGCCAGCCGTCTGGTTAGCAGGCAAGTGTCTTAGCTTCTGCTATATGTCTGTGCCTGTTCTTCCCTAATGGAACAAAGGGTGTTTTTACACCCTAATGCTTGTTCCTTTTCTGTGAAATCTGTATGCTGTCCAGCTTCCCTAGGATAAAAAGAATGCCAGGGATCCAGATGTCAGAACATCTTCAGCCTCGTCTCAACCTTTTTCTCAGCTGAGGTCCTTGCTCTGGACTACCTCTCCCCCAGTAGTGAAACACATTCCATTACTCACCTGTGTAAAACTCACTGGCTTACTCACTGTCTTTGAGAAAACATCTAAAACCCCCTAACAAGCTCCAGAGCCCCTGTGACCTGTCTCTTGCTGACTCCATCCTGGAGTGCTGACTCCATCCTGGAGTGCTGCCTCCTGCCTCAGGGCCTTATTCATGTTTTTCTTCCTGGCATAGTTAGCTGGTCAATAAATATTTGCTAAGTGAACAGAAACAAATTTTTTAAACAATTCCTTGAACACATTTAAAACTATGTCTTAAATATATTATGGCCAGTTAAAGGCAGGGCTTCCAGTGAATTCTTGAAATAACTTCAGGGATCTATAAGCCCTTCTGGTATGATTTGCAAAAATGTGCATTTTTCTGCAGAAAGCATCCATTACTTGCATCACGTTCCCAAAATGTCCATGACACAAAACAAGTTTAAGGGGTTGAGTGAAGAGAATGATGAGGCTGGAAAAAAGGAGACAGAAGTGAAGTGAGATGCTGAAAGAGCCACAGTGCTTAATAAAGTGTGTGACTGTGAAATGTAAATTGCCCTTCTCTCAGCCTTGATGGTCTTAAGCACAAAGAACATTAGGAATCCCAATACCTAAAAGAAGCCCTGGTGGTACAGCGGTCAAAGTGCTCAGCTGGGAACTGAAAGGTTGGTGGTTTGAACCCACCAGCCAACTGTTGCATAGTTCAAGAAAGATGAGACAGTCTGCTTCCATAAAGATTTACAGCCTTGGAAACCCTATGGAACAGTTCTGCCCTACAGTGTTGCTATGAGTCAGAATCAACTAGATGGTGGTGGCTTTGGTTTTTTTGATCCTTAAAAAGAGAACCTGAACACTCACTAATGAAGATCAGAGAGTCCAATTTTCAGTATGGATTATACCTCAACAAAAAGAAAATGAAAATCCTCACAACAGAACCAGTAAGGAACACTACGATAAATGGAGAAAAGATTGAAGTTGTCAAGGATTTCATTTTACTTGGATCCATAATCAATGCCCAGGGAACTAGCAGTCAAGGAATCAAATGACATATTGCGCACTGGGAATATCTGCTTAAAATGACCTCTTTAAAGTGTTAAAAAGTTAAGATGTAACTTTGAGGACTAAGGAGTATTTTCAATCGCTTCATATTCATGCAAAAGCTGGACAATGAATAAGACCAAAAAAATGATGCATTTGAATTATGGTGCTAGTATGAAAAACTGAATATACTATGCACTGCTAGAAGAATGAAATCTATCTTGGAAGATTAGTCAGAATGTTCCTTAGAAATGAGGATGGTGAGACTTCATGCGTTGTACTGTGGACATGTTATCAGGAGGGACCAGTCCCTGGAGAAGGACATCATGCTTGATAGAGGGTCAATGAAAAAAAGGAAGACCCTCAATGAGATGGACTGACACAGTGGCTTCGGTGATAGGCTCAAGCACTAACATCAACTGATGATGGCACAGGACTTGGCAATGTTTTGTGCTGTTTTACATAGGGTTGTTATGAGTCAGAAACAACTCAACGGCATCTAACAACAATATGTCTAAAATCAAAACTCGGTAGGTCTCTCTTTAAATGGGTAGGTACAGAAGAACACATGCTTCCATCTGTAGTAGTAGCTCATGGTGACAGTGATTTTCTACACAGGTCAGGCTCCCTAGAAGCTTTTTAAAACTACACAGTTTACTCCCTCATCTGATATAACTTCTGCCGTATCAGATGTAGTTGTCTGTGTACATTAGATCGAGAAACACTAATCTAAATAATATACTCAAAAGAATCCATCCATCCAAAAAAAAAAAAAAGAATCTATCCAAAACCCCAACCATACTTCATAGTTTAATAAATAAAACTTAACAGAACATAGCATGTCCAAATGGCAGTATGTAATTTCACTTTAATACCTTTTCAAAAAATTCCCCTTACAAATCAGTATGCATTCTGTTTATACAAATCAAGAGACATCATTTCAGCATTCATTCACTCAACTTAAGTTTCACAGGAACAAGTATCCAGAGCTATAAGATGACAACTTTAGTCAGAGTAGGTATTTCTAGGAGCCCTTCAGACTTGATATGAAGGCTGCTGGGTCTGGTTGTGTTTCACAATAGTAGGGTCCTTTCTATAGTGCCAAGTGTCCTGAAAAAGTCCCACAGGCAACAAGCAGCTTCAGCCCTTTTCCACCTGCATAAACACAGGTGCCATTTCTGTCTCAGTCCAAGGTCACGTATCTAGGTGCTTGTAGAGCCTACGACTTTTCTCTTTTTTATTTCTGTTGCCATGTTTTTTCCAGGGCTTCCCAGCTACAGTCTCAGAGCTCAGAGTAGTTGCAGTCACCAAGCCACTCCCAGGTTTGTAGCCCATTACAGCCTGGACTCCTTTGGTCAAAGCTCTCACACTGTCCTAAGAAAAAAACATTACGTGAGATGTCAGCAAGCTGCTTCCTTTAGAAAACACACAGATATAGTTTATGGACGACTCCAAGATAAAAAGGAGTTAAACCACTCAGAGTTGCAAAAGCAGATTTTTAGCTCTTTCACTGGTCTTTCCTTCCTGCGCCTTTAAATGCTATTTCTCAGCATTGTGTTTGTTCTCTTTGCCTATGTCATACACTCCCTCAACTCTGTTCAGTCCCAGTTTCAAGTGCCATCTATGACTACCTATGCCTAGACTCCTAATGCTAGCTCTCTTCTGGAAATATCTAGCTTGATATCTAAACTCAATTAATCTCAAACCAAATTAATTAGTCTCCCTTACAGAATGGCTACACTGCTTGTTTGTCAGTTTGTCACACTGTGGTGGCCTGCATGTTGCTGTGAGGCTGGAGGTTATACCACTGGTATTTCAAATACCAGCAGGGTTACCTATGGTGGACAGGTTTCAGCGGTGCTTTTAGACTAAAACAGACTCAGAAGAAGGAAGGGGCCACCCACTTCTCAAACAATTGGCCAGTGAAAACCTTATGAACAGCAGTGAAACACTGTCCGACATAGTGCTGGAAGATGAGCCCCTGGGGTTGGAAGGCACTCAAAACAGAACTGGAGAAGAGCTGCCTCTTTAGAGTGGAGTCGGTCTTAATGATGTGGATGGAGTACAGCTTTTGGGACCTCCATTTGCTGGTGTGGCATGACTCAAAATGACAATAGCTGCAAATATCCATTAATAATCAGAATATGGAATGTACAAAGTATGAATCTAGGAAAATTGGAAGTTGTCAAAAATGAAATTGAACGCATAAAGATCGATTTCCTAGGCATTAATGAGGTAAAATGGACTGGTTTTGGCCATTTTCAATCAGACAACCACATGAACTACTATGCTGGAAATGACAAATGGCATGGCATTTATCATCACAAAGAATGTTTCAAGATCTATCCTGAAGTACCATGCTGTCAGTGATAGGATAATATTCATAAGCCTACAAGGAAGACCAGTTAATACTACTATTATTCAAATTTATGCAGCAACCACCAAAGCCAAGGAAACTGAGGATTTTTACCAACTTCTGCAGTCTGAAATTGACCAACCTTGCAATCAAAATATGTTGACTATCACTGGTGATTGGAATGCAAAAGTTAGAAACAAAGAAGAATCACTAGCAGTTGGAAAATATGGCCTTGGTGATTGAAATAACGCTGGAGATCACAAGATAGAATTTTGCAAGACCAATGACTTATTCATTACAAATTCACTTAAAAAACATAAGCAGTGACTATATACATGGACTTCACCAGATGGAGTGCAAAGGAATCAGATCAACTACATCTGTGCAAAGAGGTGACGAAGAAGCTCAGTATCTTCAGCCAAAATAAGGCCAGGAGCTGCCAATTCTGATGCCTTCATATAGTCCAGCTTCTTGGGCTGTTTGCTCAGCATACAGATTGAATAAGTATGGTAAAAGAATACAACCCTGGCACACTCCCTTCCTGATTTTAAACCATGCAGTCTCCCCCTTGTTCTGTTCAAATGACAACCTCCTGGTCTATATACAGGTTCCCCATGAGGACAATTAAGTGTTCTGGAATTCCCATTCTTCTTGATGTTATTTGTAATTTGTTATGATCCACATAATCAAATGCTTTTGCATAGTCAATAATACACAAGTAAACATCCTTCTGGTATTCTTTGCTTTCAGCCAAGGTCCATCTGACATCCCCTGTTCCATGTCCTCTTCTAAAGCCAGCTTGCATTTCTGGAAGTTTTGTCAATATACTGATGCAACTGTTTTTGAATTATCTTCACTAAGATTTTATTTGCCTGTGATATCAATGATATTATTTGATAATTTCCACTTTCTGTAGGATCACCTTTCTTTGGAATGGGTAGATATGGATCTCTTCCAGTCAGGTGGCCAGGTAGCTAGCTGTCTTCCAGATCTCTTGGCATAGCCAGGTGAGTGCCTCCAGCATGGCATCTGTCTGTTGAAACATCTCAATGGGTATTCCCATCAATTCCTGGGGCTTTGTTTTTCGCCAATCCCTTCAGTGCAGCTTTGACTTCTTCCTTTAGTACCATTGGTTCTTGATCATATGCCACCTCCTGAAATGGATGAACATCGACCAATTCTTCTTGGTGCAGTGACTCTGTGTATTCCTTCCATCTTCTTTTGATGTTTCCTGCGTCATTCAATATTCTGCCCACAGAATTTTTCAATAGTGCAAATTGAGGCTTGATTTTTTTCTTCACTTCTTTCAGCTTGAGAAATGCCAAGCGTATTCTTCCCTTTTGGTTTTCCAATGCTAAGGTCTTTGCACCTTTTGTTATAATAATTGACTTTGTCTTCTCAAGCTGCTGTTTGAAATCTTCTGTTCAGCTCTTTCATCTTGTCATTTCTTGTTTTCTGTCATTGGTGTTCAATGCATCAATCTATTCTTTAGATGTTCTCTAAATTCAGGAGGGATATAATCAAGGGCATATTTTAGCTCTT